GAGACAGCTGCTGAGCTGGAAAGTCTTTCATTTTTTCAGCTTATCCAAGCTTTGAACCCTCAACCATCCTAAACCTTACAAGAGCATGTAGGAACTCATGAAGACGTGAGATCGCAGGTTCCGGGAATTGGGTGCAGCCCATCGGTTTCGTCCATTGGCCGATCCAGGATGGCTACTGGTGCCTTGGGTGAGCTTAGCAGTTTGAGTAGGGTCTCGGCGTCGTACCAAAACGTTATCGTGGGGAAAGGCCGGGGATGCTGCTACTCTTTGAGCGACGCCTATCCGTGAGGTGTAGGCTACGGCACGCTGATTTTCTGACCTTTCAGCCAAGGTACAGGGATATCCGCTACTACAACATGTCCAAGGGCGAGGTTCGCTTTGCGACGCGGGTCTTTCCCTGGACCTTGTACCCTCCTGCAGTCCTCAAGTCCCATATGTGCCGAGGTGTGCATGAGTAAATTTTTACTCTTCGCTGATATCTGACAAAACTGCTGAACTGAGCGGACAGTGCTCCCGCCGCTCGCGGAAGGTACACGCCCCTCTTCAGCCCCGAAGGTGCCCTGATTGGTGGTTGGGTTGTGGGCTTCAAGTTGCACTGGATCACAGCCTATCTGCGGGACTTGAACAAGCCCGAGGGGACGTTTATCTTCATTGTCGAGCGAAAGACGGGGGTGCTGATATCTGCATCAGATCCGCATGTCCCAGTCTTGAAGGACTATACGACGAGTGCCGGCATGCAGGACGTCATCCTTGCAACAGAGTGTCCTGACCGTCGGGTCTCAGAAATCGCCAAGAAGCTGCTGGACATGGCAGATGGATCTCCGGAGGACCCCCTGAAGCGTAGCAGCATAGCATGCCCAATGCCTGCCTTCGCTTCTTTCCGCTCAAATTTTGCCTTGGAGTCGGGAGGAAGTTGTCGCCCACCAAAAACCTCATGGTTCAAATTTCCTTCTCAGCTGCGGAAAGGAGTGTAGGTCTAGGTTCTGGATTACAGACCTTGGGTGGTCCTGATTCTGGTTGCAACGAGCCAAGTAGTCGTACCTGCAGTGGTATCTTCGAGGTCTTTGAGTTCGAGTTGGTTCTGTTTTTTGTGTCCCGTGGCTATCTGTCTTCATGTCTCTTGGTGCATGCTTGCAGCGTTTAAGTGCTTGACAGAGAAACAGGAGATGCTGTAGGTCCTAGTCCTAGTGTCGTCTTGCAGATCGGGCTGTATGCAGATTCTGCATCTGGCTCATTGTGGCTGAGAAGGACTGGAGCCGCGTGAGAAACTTGATCGGCAGGCCTGAAATCAAGACGACAGGCTGGGAGGGTAAAGCCATTCGTTTTGGGTCTCAGAAGTCCCATTGTGTTACGGGGTTTTGAGGCGTGGAGCCGGTGGAAGAGTTCGTTCTTACCCGCGACTTTGAGCACCAAGGCAGGCCGTCCCGGGTCGTATCCGAGGCCTGGGGGATCGGGTTGTCGGTCTCCGCAGGCCTGGACTGGGTGGTGGTCATCGCGATTCCGGGGGAGACGATCTTGAAGGACATCAACGCAAATATGCCACCCGCTGGGGGGCGTTTTAATTAGGGGTTCCGGGTTGTCGGTTTCAGCTTCAACTGAGAGAGTGAAGGATCCCAGACACTCCAGTGCTGTGGTTTCGAGATGTAGAACTCACAACGAGTTTCTGAGTTTGAAGTTTAAGAGTTCAACGGCACTTGTTGTTTTGCATTCTGGGTCCTCGTCGAGCAGAACCCTAAAAACACATTAAACAATAACGAGAGCAAATGCATGAACCACAACACCGAAAACCTCGAAGATTTTGGGTTCGCGATTGTAGCATCTCTTGTTGATAGAAAGAGGGCTTTTGAAGCACTTTTCTGTTCTTTAACAGCCATCTGTTCGTCGTTTCTCCAAAGGCTCGTCCGACTCGTGGCCATTCTCGGGGCAACCGGCGGCATGAAGATCTTCTCTTCGGTGGTGCTCCCTAGCTGAGAAACTCAGAAAACGCTTTGCCAGGTCTTTTGGGATAGGTGGTTGTTTCAAAGAAGCAAGGGAGCCGAGTATAGACTCCCAAATAGAAGGATGGCTGTAGTAAGCACCAACCATTGAATAAGGTACCCCTGTCCTCTGAACCTCCAGTCCCCGCCACGATTCGCGTCTTTCTTCGGTTGTTGCAGGAGGACGCAGCCAACTCCCTCACACTCAACCCCTAAAAGCGGAGGCTCTGCCCGTTGACCTAGCACCCGAACCGTGCATTTCTGCTGGAAGCACTGAATGCAAGTAGCAGCTCTTACAAGTTATAGCACCGCTTTAGAGCAGCCCTTGTGTGTAACCCTCATAGCAACCCGCAGGCTCACCGGCTTCTTGGCGCTTTCTGCCAAGCTCTGGGGAGGCTATGGTGGCGAGGTTGGAGGAGACGCAGTTGGGGCGGATGGGAACGATGTCATCGATGCCGTTGATGCTCTTCGTGTGTGAAAGCCCGACAAGTGCCGAACTCCGGGGTGCGGACATCGGTAGACCTTAGATCTGCCGAAGCATCAGCTGGGGGTTCTTGCGCGGGCAGGCGCTGCCTAAGGCAGCTCGCCGCTGTAGACACCTAGTTTTGTCAGCCACCTTGCAAAGCAAGTCGTCGGCCGTTGAATCCTTGCTTAGTTTTACTTCTAGGGTCTTGGCGCTGTTTTCCGTGAGATTTTGGGTGAGTCCAGCCTGAGCCCTGAGACGAGTCCAGGCTGAACCTGCCCGCAGCAGATTTATCAAGGCAAGCTGCGGCCAAATGGAGGCCGCAACATGCTGGAGCCGCAGAACAGCAGGAGTGATTGGTGTTTCTGTGCACAGAGACATTGCCTTTCTGAGTCTTTCCATTTTTTGCGTTGGGTGCACACCCCAGCTCAGTATTTAGTGTCGCACTCGAGAGTCTACTTTCAGGCAGTTGTTCTGCCTGAGAGCGATGAAGCAGCCGCAGCCATGAGCAACCTAACATGAGGAGGGTGTTGCTGTTAGACAGGGTTCTGCGAATATAGAGTCCCCTAAACCTTAAGTCCCTAAACCGTCTATATGAGATTGCGGATGCAATGCACGCATGAGATGGGCATTGCTGAATTTTGCGAGCATGGACCGAGTTAAAATGTTCCGGGCGGGCGCACTCTGCGAGCAGGTCAGGCTAAAGGTTGAAGTTTGTACGAGATTCCATGCAGCCATATGCAACCTCCCCAGATTGGGAAGATCAGTATCCGCAGGAGTTTTCCAGTTCAGTCGAGCGTAATTACTGACCGAGAGCTCTGTCCGACTCCTCAACCTCAAGTACTGTAAGATATCCTCAATCCTAACAAGCCCCCGATGTAGACCATCCGAAAACTGAAAAACCCTAAGCCTTGGGCCCAAGTGCCAACGCCAACATCTCTGGCAAAGCGATGTTTGTTCGCTCTGATTTCCCATGGCATCTGCAGAGCAGCTAAAAGCCAGGTGACTTGATGTGGGATATGGCATTTTTGTAGGGTTTGGGCGAGGAGGGTCTTGGGTGGAACAACAATCTTCAAAATTTCCCAAGCTCCGAAACCCATCACGAAGTAGCTTTCGGCATGAATGTTCCTTCTCATTCCATCTGCTCACCCCCCCATTGTTCAGACAGACTGTCAGGTTGGGCACCTTGGGTCCTCGACCTTGAAACCACGGAATTCTCTTGTCAATGGCCGCACTGGGTTTATGGGACTGGGGACGATTCCCTCGCGTCTGGTTTCGTAACTTGCGCTGCTGATCGACCGTGCTTTACACATGATGAGCCCAAAGTTTATCGACGCCTGTCCCAGCTTTCGGTTGCGATGTGAAAGCTATCGACAGCTATGTCTTACAGCGGGCCAAACCTCCTCTCCTTACAACCTTCAGGCTTAGAAAGAGCAGAACACCACAACATACCACAACCCAATTCGATAGTTCCGGCTTGCCCGGAAGCTTTTGTCACGCCTTTCTACCGGGGCATAACATCCTTGTTTTTCTGCGACCAGGCCGGATTCGCCAAGAGGCGCGCTTGCCTTCCGAAGCCCTTTCAGACTCCAAGCCTTCCGAAGCTCATATTTGTCGGTTGAGAGGACAGTTGTTTGTCGGTCCAGAGTCTGTCTGAAGATCCTCTTCTCATGCAGCGATGCCCGTTTGAGCTTGCTTTGCTGGAATCTCTGCCGCCCGAGTGTTTTCAAGCGCAGACTCAGCACAGCCGGGAATGGTCCTAAACTTGGCCCCTTTGGAGTTGGACATTTTCCCCCCAAACCCCGAAGTTCCCGAAACGCCCCAAAGTCGGAGGCATCCGCGAGCTTTTCGACAGCGTCCGTGGAGTTGTGGTGGAGAGCCAGGGCTCGGGGCCTCAAAGCCGGGTTGGGATCACCATTCAAAGGGTTTTTCGACAAGGCCATGGACGGATGTATAAGAGGCACGACAAGGATTAATCTCGGCTCCGGGGGTGAGCCTTCCGACACAAGAAGCAAGGTAGCCTCTTACCGTTTACCTTTTTTTCAGGCCGAAACTCGGGTTCCAGGGCTATGAAGGCAGCATCGAGATTGGCGAATCGACACACCTCCTACTCGTGCAATTAAAGCATTGCGTCTCTAGCTTTCAGGTTCACGGGGATTTGGAGTCAGTCTGGTTTAGGCATGGGCAGGTTCGTGTCGTACCTGCCTGGGCAGTCAGGATTATGAGGCTCCGAAGCCCTGGTCAGGGAGTGTAGTCCTTCAGGGCCTTTGGGCTCGGTAGCAACCAAGAGTCGAGAACCCGCCGGACAGGAGGAGGGAGCCAGAAGCCGAGGTCGCAGGTACTCTTGCCGTCCTCAAAGAGGATCAGGACTGAAACCGCGAGTCTTCAGCAGCCGCTGTGGCAGAGAGTTGCGACAGTCGTGTTGCTCCAATTTTCTGCTTGTATGGAGTGGGCTACTGAGACTCTCAGCAGTCAAGGTGCTGGGGAACAGAGCTTATCAGCTCAAGCTTGATAGACAAGCCCCGAACGACTGTAGCTGAAGATAGGAAACCCGCGCAGTCATGCGGCTGCTCGTTGCTGCGGCTGCAGCCATGATGCCTTCCAGCATCCACGCGCTTGTAGTCCAAAGCAGCTCGGCTGACTCTATGGCTTGTCATGCTCATGTCCTTTAGTTCAATGGCCAGAACAGTCTCTGTTTCTTCTCGGCAGCAGTCTTTGAATGGCCAAGGTCAGAGTTCTTATCCTCAATGTGGGAAGGAGTCGGGCGCCGTCTTTCTCCAAGGTCCAAGCCCAAGCCATCCCAAGCAAATGCTGACATCCGACCATGTCCTGTTAGCCTAGGCCTCCCCATCCTTGATTCTGAACCTTCCATCATCCCTCGACACGCCACTCCACCCCGCAGTCCTCAGAAAGACTTGACAGGCCTGTCTGGACAACTCTTTGACCTTCCCCTGAAGGTCAGCCGACCAAAGATGCGTTCGATCACATTTACCGCGATGCGGTTTGGGGTGGGGACGGCGTCACCAGCTCCAAGTCAGGTCCCTGCCGGACGAAAAGGTTTCGGGTCTTCCTTTGCTAAGCGATTTCATAACTTTATGTGGCGTCCCGTCACCGTCAGGAACAGGCAGCTCGTGGGGTGTCGGGACACAGCTGCTTTGCAAGACGATCACTGAAGCCTTGATGGAGGTGGCAGCGGAGAGGGGGGCCGCAGGCCAGAGCGATTTCGAGCTGAATCTTCTGGATGCTCCCAGCGGAGATTTCTTCTGGATGCCCGGATGTCTCGAACACATCTCCTCCAAGCTTCCGGAAGGGGCCAAGCTCAACTATCAAGGAGTCGACGTTTCTACGGTGGCTAAAGATACAGCAGAGGGCAAGCGAGCATCTGTGCAAGCGTCGCTGCCCAAAGTGAAAATCGAGCCTTTCCTTGCGATGGACCTTTCAGAAGCGAACATCCTTGAGCGGACCTTTCCGGGAAAGAAGCTCCTTGGTTCGGAACAGCACGATGCAGTGATGCAGCAGGCTGCTGTCCCTTCAAGTTGCTGGTGGCCCAGGCCCTGACAGGTGCAGGATTGAGGTTTGCTGCCAAACGGCCCAGGTTTGATGTCATCAACTGCCACGATGCCCTTCAGCACAACCCTTTGAGTCAGGCCTTGAGGGTGAAGGATCGAGAGTTTGAAGCTTTGAGGAATCAGAGATTTCGGCTTCAGAGTTTGTTAGGGCCCCAAAAATACCAAACCCGACATGTTTTCTCACATCACCTTTGCCGGCTCTGCACGCAGGCCCAAGTTAAACCCCTGCAGCCAGGTGAAGGAAATCGTTGCGAACTTCAACAAATGTGCTAATCGCCTGGTGGTGGACGTCGACATGGCCGGGACAAATGCCCAAGACATCAGTGCAGGACCGGGTCCAATGAGAACCGAAGTCAGGGGTTGCGGTCTTAGCTTTAATAATACTACATTAATACTACGTTTTGTTGCGCTATACCAGCCGTAAACTCTTTGCAGCTACAAGTAGCAGCTGTAGCCGAGCCCGAAGCCGCGTCTTCTGAGCGTCCCTGCGCTTCAAGGACAGTTCCGGGCTATCGACCTGACCGACGCCCCTTTCAACAACAAGCCGGTCGCCGGGCTGTTCTTAAAGGGTTTTCGAGTGTGCAGAGAAGGCTCGCCCCAGCCCAGGAATGCCTGGTGATGAATCCGGACCCCGTGTCGGTTCCCGAGAAGGAGCACTTCGCCATCTTCAAGCTGCCTCTGAAAGCCTAGAAATCGCGGTGTTGTCCGTGGACCGCGCAATTGCCTCGGAGAAACACCCGCCATCGGCGCATGTCTCGGGGATTGCTCCAGCAAAGCCAGCAATAGCTACTGCTGCGACCACTACTGTACCATGTTCATCATATCAGCATTTTGTCATCATCATCATCATCACGTAGACGACGGCTACCTGCACCGCTGCTGCTGCTGCTGCTGCTTTTGCTGTTGCTGCTACTCCCACTCCGACCTCGAGTCCTGCTCTCCGATTCCTGCCCTTACTCTTACTCCTTCCTACTACTACGAATTGCTACTACTACTACTACTACTACTACTACTACAACTACTACTACGATGACTGCTACTACTGCCAATGCTAATGGAAATGCTGCTGTGAATAGTAATGCTAATGCCAATGCGACTGCTCATGCCAATGCTTTTGGTATGTTGCACGCGCTGATGTAGTCGTATCTTCATAATTTTGATCAGCTTGTACGTTTAAGACCCATGGAATGCTTATGAAGCCAAACATGCCGAACCCGGTGCAAGCTTAAACTGCACCATGGCACGTAGAAGCAAACCCCTTGAACCCTGGACGCCAATAGCCGAACAGAGCCTAGACCCTCTCCCCTGACTGCCCTGAGCACAACGGGTCCCGAGGAGTCCATTGTGCCCGGGCGAACAAGCATGCGGAGGAGGGTCATATTCTTCTCTTTTGGTTCGGCGTGCGCTTGCATGCTGCAGCCCAAACTGCTTGCATGCCCATGATACTCTAGGTACTCATTTAGTTTTATACCTCAAAGGCTGGCATGTTGCTCCTAAGATGGTTGGGGGCGGGGCCAAGGCGCCCAGTTTTCTGTTGCTCAAATTCGCGAACCTTTCCCTGTAGCGGCTTCGACCTGCTGGGGTCTTGAAGCAGAGGTGCAGAGGTGCACCGAGCCCGAAAATTTCCATGCCTGAGTACCTCCTCACAGCCACGGCTAAGCATTTCAAAGAGCGCTCCTCCGCATGTCAGCAGAGCCTTAGTGAGAATTTGTAAAGGCACCTCGTTCACTAGCTGCTTGATGTTTGGGTTGTGCTCTCCAAGCTGCAGGGGACGTCTGGTGTACTGTGCAGGGTGAATGGCGAGAGCTCCTCGTTGGCTTTGCTAGCATCTTGGTGCCCACTGGTTCAGACATCCCAAGCTTCTCTCCGAAGGATGTGACACAGTTGACGCGGGCTGGAACCTCAGTGATCACACACCATTGGTCATGAGCTTCTCTTGCACAGACTCGATGCCTCAAGCTGCGGGACTTGTACACCACAAGCACGAGACATGAACTCGCCGAGATGGCTGATCGCGGGGATCCGCCTCCGTTGCGGCGCCGGCATGTTTTTTGGCATTTTGGAGGTCTCGGAATTGTATCTGGTCAAGCTCTTGATCATGCCATATCAAGCCAGAACTAACATGTTCGTCTCATTTGGCTTCAAGGATTTGAAGTGCATGTTTGTCGGAGCTCACAGGATATAATGCAGTGCCAAAGCATCGTGGCAGCAGGGCCCTTGACACACATGCCCTCGAAGCTGCGCTGCATGGGAAGGCATCTTCTCCGTCGGTGCCTGCAGCGAATCTGCGATCTTGAGACTTGGCAGCAGAAAAACCTGGGACGTGTGTTGCCGTGGTGGCACATGCTGCCTTTGTCAGACGTGTGTCGTCTTGCCTTCATCATTGCTACATTTCTGCATGAGATTTTGATACGGCTATCTTCATGTTCATTCATGTTGTTGCTCTGATGCTCCTCTTCTTGTCGGTGACAGCATTGTCTTGCGTCTGCTGGTCAGCTGCTGGTCGTTCTCACTACATTGCTTGATGCTATACTTACTTACTTCATAATTGCTTGCCTTGTTGCTGTCAGTACGACGGTCTGTGATTGATATGCTTAGCAATTTCCATGTGCAGTTATTGCAGTATTGCTCGCATGCAGTATTGCTCGCATCAGATACACAACCGTCCTCACCGTCATCATGACCATGATCATCCTTATCTCCATCCCCATCATGATCACGATCATCATCATCACCATCATCATCATCATCGTCTTTTTTGTTCTTATGCAACTTTTCCTCATCACCGTCATCACCGTCATCATCATCATCATCGTCATCATCGTCATTCTCAAACGCAGCTTCATCATCATCATCATCATCATCATCATCATCATCGTCATCATCATCCTCATCCTCACAAGTATCCTCGTCGTCATCATCATCGTCGTCATCATCAGCCATACCATTAACAGCATCACCAGCAGATACCTTCGTGCACCTAGTCCTAAACTTCCGGCCATACCATCGAAACCTGAACACCTTTTCGAATCGCCATTCCGGCTAAACAGCCGAGCCCTGGATACCGAAGCCTAAAGCTCCAAGCCCCGAACACGCCAAAGTCTCGGCCTCAGGAGATAAGTTCCTCGGGCGGCGATGCCCTTCTTTGGATGGTCGTGGGCTGAACCGAGTTGGATGGTTTCGGATTATAGATTTTGGGCGCACATTCGTTTTAGACACTCAAGATGCTAGCTTTCGGACCCGATGTCCACGGCAACTCATCTAGTTTGGCGGATGGGGGTTTGTTCCAAGTCGGTTGGAGCGCAACCTGTCTGTTCCCGCTGTCATGGTCCTTCTCAGCAGTCCTATCTCTCCTCAGCCAGATGCTGCAACGTCACGGCAGTTCTGCAGGTCTCCCCTGTATTGGAGGCTGCGCGGCGGCAGTTGATGCAGGCAGAGTACGGTATGAGCGTTTGGAACTTCAAGTCTGAGTTTATTTGTCAGTGTTCGATCCGCGGACAAGGGATGATCAAATAATCTGCAGCCCCGCTACCTATCAACAGTTCAACATAAGATCTACAGCAAAACCAATTGATCGTCGACATAGCTGGACACATGATTCGCGAGTCAGACAGACACCAGCAGCTACCAGACCGAACCAGTGGCAGCAAATAACACTGTCGGTGTTGCGAGTGATGTATAATCTTTGCGGTTATCTGCATCCTTGCAAGTGTCTCAGTCGGCGTTAGTAGCCGAAGCATTATCGTAGTCGTCTTCGTCCGCGGTGGTATCTTCATCAGCAGCAGTGTTACACCGCATGCAGTCCTAGCATCATAATCAATTCTGCGTCGTTTCCATCGTCGTCACCATCATCGCCATCGCCATCGCTGTCGTTGTCGTGGTTGGCATCATTGCCGCCGCAAGCACGGTCATCCTATCTTCCCCTTCATCTTCGCGAGGGGTATGAGCACCACCAGACGTGGAACACTTCCTGGCAGTTGTTTTGTTTCCCCGTGCAGTAGAATCGCAATCCACTCTGCAGCACAGGACAGCCAGGAGCGGAGGATGGTTGAGGCGCCTTTTTCCCTTCAGCCTGTTGTGCTTTTGGTACATCATTGAAGATCAGAAGCGGGCTAGTTTGGGATTTAGGGTCGTCGGACTTGAGCTACTTGACTGAATGACTCTTTGCAGCTTCAGATGGGCACCCAGAAGATTAGATACACCGGAACCGCTCAAAACATCTTGCGCCCGAGGGGCCATACTGAGAAGAGCACCGGGTGTCGCCAGGTACAAGCACTGTAGCTTGCAAGCGTGTGTTTTCGGAAAATTGCGCAGCTTCTGTCTGACTTGTTTGCTAGCCCAGAGTTCCATTGCTGCAGCCCGTTCTGCAAATAGGCAGAAGCGGACACTTTTCGCCAGCGTTCGGAGATGTGTGCCATGGAGGCGCGTCCTAGCCTCGTTGACTCGGGTTTGTGGTTGGTCCACGACGGAATCTGCCAACTTGCTGGAAGAAGAGAGGTTCCAGGGCCATGGGAGATAAGGAGTCTGCAGAAAGGCAGACTTGAGCGGCCGCGTCTTGACAGGGCATGCTTTGATTTTGCTGAACAGGTGGAGGATCAACGCTCGAAGCATTTGCGCGAGCAGGACGGGCGTAGTACAGTAAGGATGGTCGAATGCAGGAGTCTGCTTCAGAGAGATGTCGAGGTTGCTATCATCGTCTCCACAGCATCGAAACCTTAAAGATCACCGTCCTTGTGGGTCCTGATTGGTCCTGCTAATCAGAGAGCCGGATGATCAGTTCATCCGACCCATCCCCAGTTATCTGGTTGCTGGGGCCTCTCGAGAGATGTTGTGTTCGTGATAGGTTTTTGCAGGAAGTTGTCACAAGCTCACGCCCTGTGTTGACAGTAGGGCACTGCAGAGAGGCGTCCAACACAGAACCCGAAACCTGGTGACCTGGTGCTCGGCCGAATACTTTCGCGACGCAGCTGAGCTCTCTAGAAACACGAGCTTCTGTTAGTCCATGCGAAAAGCACCAGACTTGGGACAGAACCCAGGAGCGAATCAGAGTCCGCGTCCGTCAACAACAAGATACGACGAAGGCCTTTCCAAAGCTTGACCGGGAAGGCTTGCGGGGCTTTTCGGGTCTTCACCTCGGGCAGAAAGGGCTCCAAGAGGCTCCTTCGGCGGGCTTGGGGTTCATGCAAGGTCGTGTTGCGTGAAAGCCTGGAGTCCTGGAGACCCCGAATGGAGGCACCAAAACTCGAAACCATAAACCATCCCCCAAACCCATGAACTCCCACAGGAGAACCCCTGTAGCCTTTTCCTCCTAAGCTTGGGGGCCATAAGAAGGCCATGGTGATGAAAGCCCTTGCCCTCCTTGAAGAGCGCCGCGAGCTGGAGGCTCGTTTGGGCACTCTCCCGATGTTCTCTACTTTTTTTGGGGGGCTCCAAGGGTCTTCAGCTGATCTTCGATGCATCATGCATGTCGGAAAGTGCGACAAGAAGCAAGGGGAGTCATAAGAGTTCTTGGAATCGATACACGACGAGAAGTCATGAGAACTTTATCATGTAAAAGAGGAATCAACGCAAATCTAAGTTCCTTGGTAGCCGTGGCAGAAAAGCTGCAATAAAGTAAACATGAGGGCGACCAGGCGCAAATGACAGTCGTAGCGAATCCTCACCAGTGCATAGCGTCGTCCGGATCATTGGGGTCATGCGAGTTTCGAAAGCCAGTCTTTGCGCAGTGAGTGGTGAGCAGAGTGAGTCGGAACTGAAAGAGTCGTCGCTGTCATTATCATCGCCATCATTGATATCATCGCCGTCGTCTGGTCGTCGTCATCATCATCATCACCATCATCGGTCGTCATCATCGTCATGAATATCATGCTCATCATCGTCATCACCTTCATCATCATGCTCCTCGTCATCTTCTTCATCTTCATCGTCGCCATCGTCATTATCATCTTAGTGGTCTTAGGGTCCACGGCGTTATCATCATCATCATCTTCTCTCATTACCTGCCGAAAAGCCTTGAAACCGGACCTTGCACCTTGAGGCCCTGAGCCCTACAAGGTTCGTCCAAACCCTAGCCCCTAAACCCTAAACACGCAAAACGTCTGCTAGGCCTCCTGCCGACAGTTGGAGCTTCAGGCAGGGGTCCTGGTAAGTTTGTGGTTGAAGTCTTGGGTCTTGGGCAACTTAGGCTTTAAGGTTTGGGGTTTAGGGCATAGGTTTGCAAGTTTGCGGGTTTTCGATTCCTGAGTAGGCTTCATCTAGGGCAACGGTTTGCGAGCTTCGGAACACAGTTTCAACGCTGAGGCTCTCAGCCCTCTCACTGGTTAACTTCCAAGTTCGGGGCTTTGAAGCAGCTTTCGGATTGAGTCTCGTTTGCACTAGACTTGATGGTGAGGTTCAGGGGCATGGGCTGTTCGTATCTGTTGCATGGTGCATCTTCTATTCCCCGTACTGTCAGATGCTCAGCTCGTGGCTCAAGAGCTTTGCTGGGAACCGAGATGGCATGGCAGTGTTGAGAGGTGTTTGGCTTCATAGAGCTATGGTATCTTGGTATCTTTAGGAGGGGAGGCCTTGGGTACTCCAGGATGGTTTGGATAAAGTGCTGGAAACCACATTTCTTGAGTAATTCTCGCCGCGGCGGTACTCATCATGGTGGGCCAGGACCGAGGGAGAATTCAAACGTGGACGTACGGCAAAAAACGTCCCCAACTTTCCATTTCCTTGCTTCCCTGAGCCCTAAAACCTCTGCTCTGCTTTCCCTGTCTTCCGAAGGATCTCCAAGTCGCCCCGGAGGCTCCGAAGCGCCTCCAGGTGCTGGTGCTCCATGGAAGGTCTGGCCGCCTTGATTCTCTAAGGTTTGGGATTTTTAGGCTTCCGACGGTCTCCCTCCTTTGGTGGTGGAGACGGGCCGAGCAGTTCAGAGACCTTGAGGGCTCTCCCAAGTTCCCCGCAAGCTCACAGGCAGTCCAACGCGAATTTGGCCAACTTCCAGCAGCTTGGCCAAAGCTCCAACAAGTCGGAAAACGAAAGCAGAAGGCCACCCGAAGGCCACTCGAAAGTCCCTGCCTGAGCTCAGGATCTCTGGATTGAAGACGGCTTTCGGAAAGGACGGCGCTGTGGGCTCTCTCGGCGAAGTGTCAGGGTTTCGGGCTGGGACTCATGATCCAAGGGAATCCTGCAGCGTTTGCAGAGCGCTAAATGTTCCGTGTCGTAACTTGAATATCTCTTATCCAAACGAGGCTAAGCTCTAATCAGACGTCGCTCTGCTCGAAAACGAATCGTCGTGCTCTGTCGTGGAAAATCGTGGGTTCTCGTGTCATGTCAGTAAAAGTAGGCCTCCAACTTGCTATTCTCTAAACCAGGGCTCCGGATCTTGGTCGCTCCTACACTCCTCAGCTGCCAGGACGTGGACTTCGACTTCCTGGAAGGGGCCCTTCCTTGGACCTACAGGCCAAAGCTCCCTGCATGCTAGATACAAAACATGCAGATAACATACTCGTTTGTGTTTATTTATACCTGCGCGCATGCATCTATCTATCTATATATATATATACATATATATATATATATATATATATATTATATGTATATACATATATATTTTATATGTATATGTGTATATATATATATATATATATATATATATATATATTTATACACATATACACACACACACATACACGTATACCTGTGTAATACCTGTATGTACATGTTTATGTATACGTATCTGTATATGTATATGTACATGTACACGTACACGTACATGCATGTGTGTGTGTATGTATGTATGTATGTCTGTATGTATGCACGTACACACGTACGCATGTGTTCATATGAAGTTGTACACAATCTGTATAACTGTATACGTGTATGTATGTATATATATATATATATATACATATATATATATATACATACACATGTACATATAAACGTGTGTATACACATATCACACACATGTATGAATATGACAAATTTTACCCATGATAGTAATGTATGTATGTATGTGTGTATGTATGTACACGTATGTCATAATATACATGAAAGATGTCCATATTCACACAATACTCATACATACATACATCCATGCATGCATACGTACATACATACAGATATTCACACATATATGCATACATGCATGCAGGCAGGCACGCATACGTACTGGCATGCATACCCACACGTCCATGAATGTATGCATGCCAGCACATATGCGTACACAGGCACATACATACAAACACACATGTATAGATAAACAAATACATATGTACATACATACGTACATACATACATCCATGCATACTTGCATACAAACACATACTCATACCCATACCCATACCCATGCACACAGACATGCACATACACATACTCATACACATACACATACGCATACACATACACATGCGCATACTCATACGCATCCACATGCACATACACATGCACATACACATTGGCGTTTTCATACACGAGCTGCTCATCTTTGTGGTGGCTCGTATTCTTGAGTACTTGGAGTTGATCGGTGTGTCGATGCCAGCAAGCACGTGAAAGAAAACTTCACACAGGGGCCCCGCAGCTCCGCCATCTTCCACAGCAGCATATGGCCATGCACCATTTCCGGACACCGGATCTCATCGTAGATACTAGAAGATTGTGAAAATAAGAGGATACCTGGCAAACGTCTATCAGGGGCATGTCGGGTTTGATTCGCAGCGGAGTTCATCACCTCAGCACACCTTTTGGACATATTCAAGGAATTGCAACCCCACCGGGAACCAACAACCAAGAAAAGCCCGCAACCCGAATGCGCATGGAAGGCCCGGCGTGGACTTGCACGATGCGGACCCCATGTCCATCAACCTGTCCAAGGGCAAGGATTTCAAGGCGCTATGTGTCTTGAAGGTTACGGGGATCAAGAGGTACTACAGGGCACCGAGAAGTGCAGGTGTGGTTCACGCACACCACGGATGACAAGAGAGCATCCTGGCTTGAAGATTCAAGC